CAGCATCAATAAAATAATAATAATAATAATAATAATAATAATAATAATAATAATAATACAGTGGTACCTCGGGTTTATACAGTGGTACCTCGGCCACGAAATTAAAAGACGCCTGCTTCTTGGGAGAGGGCAATGACAGGCCTAGACAGCATCTTGAGAAGTAGAGACGTCACCTTGCCAACAAAGGTCCGTATAGTTAAAGCCATGGTCTTCCCAGTAGTGATGTATGGAAGTGAGAGCTGGACCATCAAGAAGGCTGATCGCCAAAGAATTGATGCTTTTGAATTATGGTGCTGGAGAAGACTCTTGAGAGTCCCATGGACTGCAAGAAGATCAAACGCATCCATTCTTAAGGAAATCAGCCCTGAGTGCTCACTGGAAGGACAGATCGTGAAGCTGAGGCTCCAGTACTTTGGCCACCTCATAAGAAGAGAAGACTCCCTGGAGAAGACCCTGATGCTGGGGAAGATGGAGGGCACAAGGAGAAGGGGGCGACAGAGGACGAGATGGTTGGATAGTGTTTTCGAGGTTACCAGCATGAGTTTGACCAAACTGCGGGAGGTAGTGGAGGACAGAGATGCCTGGCGTGCTCTGGTCCATGGGGTTCACGAAGAGTCGGACACGACTAAACGACTAAACAACAACAACAACAACCTCGGGTTACAGAAGCTTCAGGTTATAGACTCCGCTAACCCAGAAATAGTACCTCAGGTTTGATTCAGGATGAGAACAGAAATTGTGCGGTGGCAGCAGGAGGCCCCATTAGCTAAAGTGGTACCTCAGGTTAAGAACAGTTTCAAGTTAACTCCTGTTTCCATGCGCAATGTTCCCTTCTCACATTCCTCTCTTGCCTCTCTTGCTTGACCAGATAGGAGGGTCAGCTGAAATTCCAGGGAGTCCCCTTTGGTCCAGGGGGTCTCTGGTTGCCTGCCACAGCTGTACAATTGTGAGTCAAATGAAATGTCTGTCCCTCTACCAATGTTGGTTAGAGCGTAGTGGTGACAATGCCAAGGTCACATATTCCTGCATTGCACATGATCCTCAGATTTCCTTCCAACTCAACGAATCTATGGGATTTCTATGAGATTTGCAGTATGATAATCTTGGCAACTGGGGACACAGGTGGCGCTGTGGGTTAAACCACAGAGCCTAGGACTTGTTGATCAGAAGGTTGGCGGTTCGAATCCCCGTGACAGGGTGAGCTCCCGTTGCTCAGTCCCAGCTCCTGCCCACCTAGCAGTTCGAAAGCATGTCAAAGTGCAAGTAGATAAATAGGTACCACTCTGGCGGGAAGGTAAACGGCGTTTCCGTGTGCTGCTCTGGTTCACCAGAAGCAGTTAGTCATGCTGGCCACATGACCCGGAAGCTGTACACCGGCTCCCTCGGCCAATAAAGCGAGATGAGTGCCGCAACCCCAGAGTTGGCCACGACTGGACCTAATGATCAGGGGTCCCTTTACCTTACCTTTACTAATCTTGGCAACTGGAAGGGGAGAGGCAGGAAGTGGTGTCCAGCTGATCTTATCTTCCCTCCTTCCACAAAAGGCACTGCAATCTATCATCAGGGGTCAGCAAACCTTTTCAGCAGGGGGCCGGTCTACTGTTGCTCAGACCTTGTGGGGGGCCGGACTATATTAAATATATGAATGAATTCCTATGCCCCACAAATAACCCAGAGATGCATTTTAAAGAAAAGCACACATTCTACTCATGTAAAAACACGCTGATTCCTGGACCATCCGTGGGCCGCATTTAGAAGGCGACTGGGCCGGATCCAGCCCCCGGGCCTTAGTTTGCCTACCCATGGTTTGTAGAAAGACCTTGTACCACCGGCTGTTTTTCAATACAGTGCTTGGTTGCTCTGTTTGAGTTTGCATTAACTGGAATCGGGTAACCGCTGATGTGTTTTGCAAATGGGTAATCCACAGCAGACTCATCCATATCCCTGACTTGTTTACTCCAAGGTATAAACGGAGGATAAAAATTATATCAGCTCTGCTTACCTTGGGATCCTGATTAAAGGTTTTAAACAGACTGTGGATGCGTTTCAAGGTAATAAAAACTGCAGTTGGCTGTAACCTAACTCCACATTGACCCTGAAACAAAGAATGACTTTGTGCTGCTCCTCTTATCTCCAGTTAGCAAAAGGGCAACCAACAATAACCGAAAAAAGAGGAACTCCTTTTTCCTTAGTAGTAAATTCTCTTCCCAGGTTAACAATCTTCTGCATGATTTAAAGTTTCTTTTTTTTAAAATTAATTTTTATTCAGATTTCCAATAACCAATCCATTTACAATTAAACATCCAATTTAACTTATACATTCTTTTAGACTTCCATCAGCCTATCTGACAATTTTCATATTTATCACAACTTCTCACATTTCATACATTTATGTTGCACTTTGACAATCCCTATTTTATCTTCTCTTTTAAGCGACATTCCAGTTTATTTTTTTCCCCACAGAGCTTCTTGAAATCCAACAAGCGTTATTTCCTGATCACACACAGTTTTCATATACTCTGTAAATTTGTTCCAGTCCTCGGTGAATCTCTGATCGCGTTGGTTTCTAATTTTTCCAGTTAATTTATCCATTTCTGCATATTCCATCAGTTTCGTTCTCCATTCTTCCCTCTTTGGTATTTCTTCCTGTTTCCACTTTTGGGCCAACAAAATTCTGGCTGCTGTTACTGCATATCTAAATAATTTCACATCTTTCTTTTCAACATCCTTCCCTACTATACCAAGTAACAATGCTTCTGGTTTCTTTACAAAAGTATATCTCAACATTTTTTTCATCTCATTATAAATCATTTCCCAAAAGCATTTCACTTTCTTACATTCCCACCACATATGATAAAATGTTCCTTCTTTCTCTTGACATTTCCAACATTTATTACTAACTTTAAACATCTTTCCAAGTTTCACAGGAGTTATATACCATCTATATGTCATTTTCATAACATTTTCCTTTATCGTAGTACATGCGGTGAATTTCATTCCCTCTTTCCATAGTTTTATCCACTCCTCTAATTGTATATTATAACCAAAATCTTTGGCCCATTGAATCATAACCGTTTTTACTTCTTCATCTTTTGTGTGCCATTCAAGTAATAATTTATACATTTTTGACAATATTTTTACATCACTATTCAAGATTTCTTGATGAAACCTTGATTTCCCCCTAAAAAACCTTTTTCTTGCATCTCTTTTTTAAACATTGCATTCAATTGAAAATATTGCAACCAATCATTCACCTTTCCTTTAACCTCTTCATATGGTTTCAAATTCCACTTATCTCCTTCTTTAATTATCAGATTTTCATATGTGACCCAGTTCCCTGTCATATTGACTTTTTTCATACTCATTATTTCCAATGGCGACAGCCACATTGGGATTTTAGGCTCTAATAGATTTTTGTACCTATTCCACACTTCAATTAACGTTCCTCTAAAAATATGGTTTTCAAAACCTTTATGCATTCTGTTCTTATCACACCATAAATACGCATGCCACCCAAATCTATTGTCATATCCTTCTAAATCCAACAATTCTGTGTTCTCTAATTTTATCCATTCTTTCAACCAGCAAAGACATGAAGCTTCATAATATAACTTTAGGTCTGGCATGATTTAAAGTTTCAAGCAAAAAGACAAATTTTCCAGAAGCAAAAAGGTTAGAAATGTGGGATTTTCCACAATTCTATCTCCGTACAGGGTTTGAAGTAACACTGTCTGGTACATGTGCTGAGAGGTTAAGTGCCAACATAATCCCTGTGCTATTAGGATGCCATCAACACAAAGGGAAAGGAAGAGGTATAGGCAAATTCAGTCCTCCAGATGTTTTGGGACTACAATTCCCATCATCTCTGACCACTAGTCCTGTTAGCTACGGATGATGGGAGTTGCAGTCCCCTTCATGGATCACTGCCTTGCCGTGGCGAAGGGGCTTGAATAACTCAGAGAAGCTATGAGCTATGCCGTGCAGGGCCACCCAAGATGGACAGGTCATAGTGGAGAGTTTTGACCAAACATGATCCACCTGGAGCAGGAACCGGCAAGCCACTCCAGTATCCCTGCCAAGAAACCTCCATGGGCAAAGGCAACAGGCATAATAACAAATAGAATAATAGAAATACAGAGTACTACAACTACTAAATATAATAAATAAATAATAAATAGAATAGAAATAAGAATAAGATTTGTTGTTGTTTAGTCGTTTAGTCGTGTCCGACTCTTCGTGACCCCATGGACCAGAGCACGCCAGGCACCTCTGTCCTCCACTACCTCCCGCAGTTTGGTCAAACAGAATAAGATTATAATACTATAATAACAAATAATAACAATAAATAATGAATAAATAAATACATAAATAATAAAGTGAATAATGAATAAAATAATTAGAATAATAGGAATAATAGAAAAATATAATAATAATAATAATAATAATAATAATAATAATAAAAACAACTATTATTATTGAATATGACAGAGTACTACTACTACTACTAAATATAATAAATAAATAATAAATAGAATAGAAATGATAATAAGATTATAATAATATAATAATGAAGAATAAAGAATAAATAAATAAATAAATAAGTGAATAATGAATAAAATAATTAGAATAATAGGAATAATAATAATAATAATATAATAATAATAATAATAATAATAATAATAACAACAACAACAACAACAAAAACAACAACAATACTATTTTTATTGAATATGACGTCCCTCTTTTCAGCAATGTTGGAAAGTATGCTCCCATTCTATAACGGAGAGCAAGAAGCGGGGGGAGGGGGGGAGGGCAAGGAGAAAAAAAAAAGACTCTGCCAGGAGCCAAGATGGCCGCCGAGGCTTCCTTTTCCCCTCCCCACCTCCACCCCCTCCGGCCATAATGTCATCTCCGCGCGCCTTCGCCAGAAGGGCGGACGTGGTTGCGTCGCGGGGCGGGGCGGAAGGAGGCAGCGCTGGAATGTGGGCGGGGCGTCGGGGCGGCCGATGTGGCTTCCCATTTGCCAGCAGCGGCGGCAGCAGCAGCAGCAGCAGCGAACGCCGCCGCCTCCTCCTCGTCCCGCTGAGCCGCCTCAGCTTCTTCCCCCGAGCTGGGCTGAGTCCGCGGCCAGCGAAGGCGCCTCGTCTCCGGGGTCCGAGGAGCCTCCCGCGTCCCCGGTGAGCGAGGAGCCCCTGTGGGGCGGCGGGGAGGGGAGGGCTGCCTGGCTGTGGGGCTGGAGGAGGGCGAGGTATTGGGTGGGGGGGGGAAGGAAACAGGGAAGTGGGGAGGGCAAATGCAATGAGAATAATGATAATTTCTCTCTCCTGAAACTATAATTTCTCTCTCCTGAAACTACAGCACGGGGATTAGGGGTGGTGTGCCCTGGAAGAAGGGTGGGGTTGGGGGGCGATGAGAAATTAGTATCATTATTATCATTATCATCATCATTAAATTATTTATTATTATTATTATTTATTCATTTTTTTAAAAAAAAATCTGTGCTTTTCAGGTTTATGCATTATACTAGTTTTGCAATCCTTTTAACATTTCGGAACTCGACTTCCCTCCCCCTCCTTCAATTTATTTGTAATATCTTCTGCAAATTCCAAATTAGCTTAAGTTGCTCACTTTTTAATCTACTTTAACTCGACTTCCCTCCCCCTCTTTCTGCGGTTCCTTCCATTTATTTGTAATATCTCCTGCGTATTCCAAATGAACTTGAGTTGCTCACTTGTTAATCTACTTCAAATATATACGCTTGTCAAACTGCAGGTTATTACAACAACCCTGTTTTTACCTGTTTACAGTTTATCTGTAAATATTCAGTAAACCCATTTCCATTCTTTTATAAAAAAATTGCAATCTTGATTTCTTACTTTTCTGGTAAGTTTCGTCATTTCTGCATGTTCCGTACGTTTTGGTATCCATTCTTCCTTTGCTGGGACTTATTATTCTTTCCATTTTGGGGCGAGTAACCTTCTTGCGGCTGTAGTAGCATACATGAATAAGTTTCTATATAGTTTAGGTAGTTCAGTCTCTATAATTCCCAAAAGAATTTATTCGTTGTTGTTGTTGCATCATTGTATTGTGCTGGGTTGAAGTAGAGGCACCCTGTAAAAGGGGCAGACAAGTGAAGTTAGGAAAACAACAGCGTTTGAAATAGAGGAAGGTGGGGGGGGGGAAGAACCATCAGAAACAAGGTTTGAGGAGAGGTGATCTGTGTTTAATTTTGGATTATTATTTTTTAAAAATATATATCTTAAGTAGTACTGTGGTAGAGCGCAGTCGGCACTTTAGCCTCTGACAGCTTTATCAGTCTACCCACCCCACCCCCCAAATTCCCCGGAAGTTGCCCGTTTTTCATCACCCTTTGAAAATGGTTAGGGTTTTTATAATTTCTAAGCTAGGGGGAACATTTGGACACTGGCTATGTGAGAGGAGGGGAAAACCTGGAGATGTTGGTGGTTCTATTGTGAAGAGGTTTTTTTTTTGCTCAGGGATGCCCTTATTCTAATTTCTGGCGCATTCTTACGGAAGCAAAAGCAGGGAAATGAGTTTCCGAGCACTTTAAATTTAAATAAATTATTGTGAATTGTAGAAAATACCCAACATAGTGGGTACTTTTTAAAAAAATAAATAAATCAGTCTTTATTTTGCCAGGTGATCTGTCAACATTGCTTTGCTGTTTGGTACACTGAAAATATATTTTCTACCATGAAGTTTGTCACTGAGGGGGATGATGAAGACTTGAGGTCAACAACATCTTACTGAGATTTCATCATTCAGAAACAACAAGAGCAGTTCCTGGGATCTCCTTCAGCACTCGTAATATGGAATTATAACATTTCCTTTCTTACGTCGTCACACATCCTGCACGTTCCAGCCAGCACAATTTTCCTTTCAGAGGTTAATTCCAAAGTGCCATCGATGAAAAGGAGAGGGCTGATTGTCACCCTTAGCCGATTTAACCGTGCAAGAGTATTGGAGAAACTTGTTTTCCCCGTCCTTGATTGGATTGACGAATTAAAGCGAACATTTTGAATTGAAAGTGAGCATGATAGGATCTTGAGCGTATGGTACTTCACGACTGAGGAAGGCGAACGATGGCGTCCAGAGAGAGGCTGTATGAACTTTGGATGCTCTATTGCAATAAGGTAACTTCTTTTTTAAAAATAAATAAAACTTGGGGGATGCTTTAGTTGAAGCTCTTTTGTTGAAACCAAATGGCTAACAGTGCAGTCTTAACCACGTCTGCTCAAAAGTAAGTCATCTTGAATGCATTGCAGCCTTAGACTGTTTTTTTATTGGAATCCTGATATGCTGGTACAGTTGACCAAAATGCCCACAGTTATGTGCTCCTATAGGACAGGTATGATAAACTTTTGAATCTCCAGGTGTTGCTGAACTTCAACTCCCACCATCACTGGCCGTTGGTCATGTTAGCTGGGGCTGATGAGAGTTGTAGTTCAACAGCGTCTGGCTGGTCAAAGGTTCCCCATACCTAACCTAATCTGTTATATCTAAAACTTTAAATATTTGTTTCGTGGCCTTCTTTCCACGGAACCAAGACTGGATGCAGCCTTCCACTTGAGTGTATACTCATTATGCAAGGAGTTTGCCAAACCTGGGCTTGTGCAAACTTGATGGTGATGCTGAAGATGGTCTACAGTGAATCTCAGGCTACAGAAACAATATGTTTACACCACCACAACAATTTGCTGGATAATCATAATTATTCTCGTTAGGCTCCGGTATTATTTCTTGTTCCTTTCGTCTGAATTTTGCTTGTGTTAGGGTGGCGTTTTCTTCAGCAGTTTCATTGCGCAAAAGCACTTGGCATTTTTGTTTGTGTGTTGATTGTTTTGTTGCAAAGAAGAACATGCAGAAATGTTCCTCTGAGCCATAAGATTTGGAGTTAAGGAATTTGCCTTTAGTCCGCTGCTTAAGCTGGTGAGCTTTTGAAACACAAACGTCCTATTGTTTAGAAGCTCAATATGACCGTGCTGATTGAGCTTTGTTTTGAAGTGAGCAGATACTTGGTGGCATAATGAAAAATAGCCCAAATGTGCAACGGAACATTTTCAAGTGGGACCCAAACTTTTATGAAGTTAGCAGTGTTTTCTAACCATTCCTACCTAACAGTAAAGGGTAAAGGTAAACCCCTGACCATTAGGTCCAGTCACGAACAACTCTGGGGTTGCGGCGCTCATCTCGCTTTATTGGCCGAGGGAGCCGGCGTACAGCTTCCGGGTCATGTGGCCAGCAGGACTAAGCTGCTTCTGGCGAACCAGAGCAGCACAAGAAACACTGTTTAGCTTCCTGCTGGAGTGGTACCTATTTATCTACTTGCACTTCATACTTTCGAACTGCTAGGTTGGCAGGAGCTGGGACCGAGCAACGGGAGCTCACCCCGTCACGGGGATTCGAACCACCGACCTTCTGATCGGCAAGTCCTAGGCTCAATGTCCCGGAAGCTGTACGCAGGCTCCCTCGGCCAATAAAGCGAGATGAGCGTCGCAACCCCAGAGTCAGCCACGACTGGACCTAATGGTCAGGGGTCCCTTTACCTACCAAGCACTTTTCTTCTCCGATCAGCTGTGAAGGTCGCTTGGGCCAGTCACTGTTTTGTAGTCTAACCTGTCTCGTACGGTTGTTGCGAGGACAAAATGGGGAGGGGGTAAAACCATGGATTCCCCTTTGAGCTCCTTAGAGGAAAGGTGGGACATAAATCAAATGTATTAGTTGAGAAACCTTCGGTCTGGGGGTCAAATGCAACCCCAGAAGCTTCTCTGGAGGAGTGGAAGAACCTCACACCTGGAGGCCAAGACAGACACTAGCCTACCTACCAAAGTAAATGTTTATATTCCTTGTTCCACCCATTGTGGCTTCTGTGGCCCCAGGGAGGTGGCCCAGAGAAGAGTGGATCCCTGGCTGCTTAAAGTCTTGCCACCGTTCTTTAGAGATATGGTGTGAATGCAACCTAGGCAGCACAAACATGTCCCTGAAAGAAGGTACATGATGTGAACGGTTAAAAGGAGAACCACCCCTACTGATATTGCCTGTTGCAAGGGCCCGCTTGAGATCTTGGCATCCTAATGTATAAGGATTCTCCTTTTCTCGGCAATTATGCCTGAAGGTGACACTTTCAGTCATTTCTCTCCATGCTGACTCGAAAGTAGGTTCCACTCCCAATAATTCAGTGTGACTTACATCCTAGGAAGCATGTTGAGAATGGTAGCCTGGATACGTGCTTACGAGTGCTGAAGGACTGGAAATTCTCTTGTATCAAATCTAGCAGAACTCCTCATAATCTAGGAGCGAACCGTCTGAAAAATGCTAGGGAATGCAGGCATCACAAACGACTTATGGGTTGTGAAAGTAGGCTAAGATGACATCTTTTATTGGACCAACAGCTGTTGGTGAGGATGCTGAAGCTTTTGAGTTTAAAAGCCTATCAGGCAAAAACTACTGCTCTTTAACGCTTTAATCTATGAGTAATGTGTGGCTGCTTTGAAGCTGCTTGCAGCACAAAATGCAGCACCGGATCAGGTTTGGAGCTACCAGAGGAATATATATCAGTACTGTTTTGGTTTCTCTGCTGTCCTATATATGAGATGAGTGACTCAGATTCCAGTGATCATCTTGGAGTGACTGCAAAATTCACCCTTTCACGGTACATCTTATTTGACTGAAAAGGAGCAGAGATAGTCTTGTCCACGTGAAATTATTTCGTCTTTCATTTGCTGAAACTGTTTTCTTTAAGCCCACAAATTAAAATGTAACGGTGAATGAATCAAATGTCTACTAAATTGTTTTATTTGCGTCAGTATTTAGATGACCTATTAATTTCACTTGAAATTGTATAGTCTTGCTTAGGGGGATTACAAGGCTGGAATTGTTACATAATAAGCGGTGCCAGTATGCCAGGGGCTACTTAGGAACAGAGCTCTGCCACTTCTAGGGAAAAAAGAGTGTGAAAATATTTGAATTGGTCAAACCATAAAACAATTTCCTTCTGACTTTACTTTTTAATGAGAGACGAGACAGAGACCAATGGCACGTGGGTTGACTTGACACAATAAATTGTGTTATGCATACATTTTTTAAAATGCCACGTATAATAATACCATCTGCTTTTTTGTGCTGAAAAAAGTACTCCGTGCAGAAAGCAGCAGTAAAACTCAAGAAAGCCAAGTAAGAAGCAATAACTGCTCGCGCTAAAACGGAGCCTTAATCCTGTTTCCAGCAGAGATTTGAAGATCCCCATAAAATAGTCTCGCAGTGACAAACTTTGGGTACGATTCAACACGCAGCGAGTCCTGTTTTGTTCTCAATGGGAGAAATTCTGAGCAGGTGCTTGCGCCTCTGCTGAAATCAATAGCACGTAAAAGGGCTTCGCTGTGGCTGGAGCAGGCCCATTGTTTTTTGGATCAGTGTGCCAAATTGAAATATGTGGGCTTCTTGTTCTGATACCGAGTTAATGACTGCATAATGCATGAAGCACTTCTGCCACTTCAGGGCACTTGTTCAGATGTCTGTTTTGACTTTATTGCATTCCTGTCAAGACGTCCGCAGAGGAAAAGTTTCATCCATTGAGTAAATGCCCTATGTGGAGGGGGGAAAACCTGGCAGAAGTTCCTTTGTTTGCTAACGCATGCTCATCTTCTGCCACTTAAGATTAGAAAAAAACTTTTCTGGCTATTGAAGGGAAGATTAGCTGCACTCATTATAGAGACAAATGCAGATTGGATTGGCACTGAAACAGCAGAAAATATCCAAGCTCTGTAAATTGTTCTTTGCATGGCAGGAAGAAGATAGAATTTGGGGGTCATGTTTTTTGTTTTAAAAAGGCATTGGACCTACTGAGGTGATCTTGCTGGCTACATGTAGAGGAGGAGCTGGATCGTGGCTTCTTGTCCAGATATGTGCTTTCCATGGTTGAAGAGATCCTACATGGAAAATCCATCATGTATAGATCTAAGCCACTTACTGAATCTGTTCATACTGTTCTGTGTTGCTGGACTCCGTCTTCTGTCAGCCCCATTCAGAATGGCCATTGGTGATGGGTGCTTCAGTCCACAAAGATGTGGGCAGTTTAGCCAGCCCTTTGATAAATGGCGGATTGTTTGTCCATAAGTCAAATGTGGAAGAGTTGTTACATCCTGGAGACAGTGTTAGAAACTGAGATATGAAAGCTAGGAGCTTAAATGGCACCTTGAATTTAGGCTATGGGTGCGGCAACGCAATGTCTAGTCTTGCTTTTTTTAAAAAACAAGAATACAGAGCTGAAAATAAATGAACTGCAGCTAAAATATTACGTTAATTTTTCACATGGGTAGGCAAACTAAGGCCCTGGGGCCCGGATCCGGCCCAATCACCTTCTAAATCCGGCCCACGGACGGTCTGGGAATCAGCGTGTTTTCACATGAGCAGAATGTGCCCTTTTATTTGAAATGCATCTCTGGGTTATTTGTGGGGCATAGGAATTCGTTCATATATTTTTTTCAAAATATAGTCTGGCCCCCCACAAGGTCTGAGGGACAGTCGACCAGCCCCCTGCTTAAAAGGTTTGCTGACCCCTGCTCTAGTCCTTGCCCTGCCCACCCCCTAATGTTCTTAAGAGGGTCTCTTCTCCAGTCTTCAGAGACTAACTGGAAGTGGGGAGGCAGAAAAAGCTCCTCCTTTCCTTCCACTCTGCAGTTTTAATCTGAAATCTTTGGTGCAGGATTGCGCCCAGAGCTCAGAAACTGCTCGCACTCATGAAATTCCCTGTCGCAAAATGCGCCTAGGACAATGGGAGTTTTGAACACTGTCTGGAGATGGACATGTACCCCCAGTGGGAGAGGTCACAATCCTGTCCGCCCCCCCACCCGGAAAGTAATATGACTTGCCTATAATATGTTTGGAAAAACAGGCTGTGGAATTGTTGAATATCAGGGCAGAACATTTGGTGAGAAAGCGAGGAGAAGTAATTGAACTGGTTATTTTTTCAAGTACAGTGGTGCCTCGCAAGACGAAATTAATTCGTTCCGCAAGTCTCTTCGTCTTGCGAGTTTTTCGTCTTGCGATGCACGGTTTCCCATAGGAATGCATTGAAAATCAATTAATGCGTTCCTAGGGAAACCGCCTTCAGACCAGGTCCGGGGACAGTCTG